TTCTAGTTCTGTTGAGTCAACCTCAGAAATGTCTTTCAATATGACTCTTCCTTTTCATCCCTATGACCAGACTATACAGCGACAGATTTCAAAGTAGCCCTCCACATTTTGGTGTGATGAAAGTGTTCTGGAATTTTTAGAAAGTGGTGATGGTTGCAGAACTTGAGAATATACTAAAAGCCAATTAACTGTACACTTAAAATGATTAAGGTGGTGAATTTTAATTCGATTTAAAAAAAAAGCCTTCCAATCAATTCATGTTCTATCTAGAATTATCGCCCTAAAATGCACAATTACTTTCCTGCCCACCAAGCTCCAACTGCTGCTTAAGACTTGACTCCTTGGGGCTTGATGTCCCTCACAATTTAGTCTCCAAGTGCCCTCTAGCCTCACCTTTCATCAATCAGTCACATGAAATCACAACATGCCAAGTTCTTCCATATCTTTAATCCTATAAACATTCCCTTGGTTTGGAATGCTTCTTTGCCCTTGTCAATCTGAGGAACTTCAACTCTTCAAGACCCACCTCAAAGGTCAATTCTTTTGTGAAACACTGATTCCCAAAACAGAATTAATCCCTCTTCTGTGTTTCCTTCACATTTCTTTAAATAAATTAGTCATGTATTTGTTTTCATTTATTCACTCAATATTTATTGAACACCTATTATAAGGCTAGAGATAGAAATATAAGCAGGGAACATTTAAGGAGCCCAGTCTGTTGGAGGAGAAAGACATTTAAAACAATAGCAGTGTAACAAGTTCAGTGTTACCATAGTGATATAAACAGAGACTGGGTTAACATAAGAAAGAAGTAAAATTCCTGGGTTTATGGACCATCCCTCACTAACTTTAAGTGAGTCATTCTCTTAACAGTATAAATGCTCCCAAACAAAGAAAAGTACCTGAATATCTGGAAGCACTGTTATGTACTTGGACTCCTGAGATGAAAGAAGCTAATAAGGAGTTAATTTTCCTAAGGGCAGCCTCACTGGCATTAAGAAAAAGTAAGTGAAAGTTCTTTTCCCTATATAGGTAGGTTTAAGTTTTTCTAATGTGTCCAAGATTTGCTCCCTAAAAATGGGCATACTAGCATCTCCTAAATACCCACACTTTCCTCAGCAGGGAACCAGTTCGTGTGGGGCACTGAGGAGTCATCAAAGGAGTATTTATATGAGACTGACATAGAATGCACAATCAGACCTCTGTCTGATGGAGTTGCAGCCTCTTGAGAATTTGGAATAGCAGCCAAGGTGGGAAGGGGGAGGATGTGAAGGAGAAGGAGAAAGAAAACCCCCAATCAAGACTCAGTTCCAGTCAAACTCTTCAAATGTCCTTTCTGCTGAGGATGCTATGCATATTTCTCAGAACTATATTTTACTGTCCTTTAATAATCTTTTGGATTCAGGAATGGCAGTCTTCTCAGGGAATCACAAATGTGGGACAATACAACATAATAAAGATTGAAATGAAGGAAAATCCAAAAACTGAGCGGAAGAAAATTTATATCCATCACCTTTAATTTCAACATGTCCAAAAAAAATCACACTGTTCAAAAATCAGTTAGCTCCCTTCCCAACTTCCATTTTTGGAAAAAAGTACTTCTCTTTTGTTCATCCTCAGGCACAAAAACGTGGGGTCATCTTATAGTCCCTCCTCTCCTTCGAGCCCTATAAATAACTAGTTAGGCCCCAAATTCCACAGATTTTTAACTTCTCTCATTTCCATTCACTTACGTAGTTTTTCACTGCACACCTACTTATGCTAGTCTCCAGGAGGTTCTGGTGGCAGGAATAAGAGGGTAGGATGTAAAGATGTGTACAGAAATAGCTACTAAACAAGTCTAATAAGTATATGAGTGGTTGAGAAATAAGTACCACAAAGATTCTGAAGTGTGAGATGATGTCTGGCTAGAGTAATGAGGAAACACTTGGGAGGGCAGGCAGTGAGCACTCAAACTGGGCTTTGAATCCTAGATCTAACTTTGATTAGACGGAGTTTGTGAAGGGAGCTGGGAAGGTTCTCTGCCTAGAATCCAAGGTTATGCATAATCCAACCTCACCAAACCTTTTCAACCTTATGTTACTACCTACCCCTCTGCTGCTTATCAGTGGGTAGCAAATCAAGGTGGGTGCCTGGAACTAAAGGTCCAGAAGGGGTCAGGTAGTAGCAGCCTTTGAATGCCTGGCTGAGAAGCCTTTAACCCCTAGGCTGCCAGGTAATTTCTCTTTTCACTGCACACTTTCACATCTGACACTTTCACATCTGACACTTTCATCAGGAAACCAGGTACAAAAAAAAAGTTGGGGGTAGCTGCCTTTGTGATCACAGGATGTTCCTTCTGCATTCACGATTTGTAGGAGAGGCCACTGCTGTTGAGTGGCTGAACAGACACTGCTCCCTTCAGCACAAACAAAGCCTGACTTAGGATGGATAATTAGAAAGCATATCTTATTCTACAAAATCCAAAAACTGTCAGCCTTCAACAACCCTGACTAGGGCTGTGATCTAAGACTGAGAATACCAATTTAATCCTCCTCAAATTCGCTTTCACTATCACTCCTTTGCTCAAGGACCTACAATGACTCCTATTACCTACAATAGGTTATTCAAATATCTGTCTAAAATCCGAGGTTATGCATAATCCAACCTCACCAAATCTTTTCAACCTTATGTTACTACCTACCCCTCTGCTGCTTATGTTACTACCAATCTCCTTTCCTAGTCAAGAGGGTTAAATTACAACAGGGCTGGTGTTACTGTCTCAGTTGAGCTGACTTAAATTTAAACTAGACAATAGGCTATTTTTTTCAGGCATAAAAACATAAATGTTACAAAGATATTTATAAGAACTAAGCAGACCTTATCTTGTATTCTCAAGTGTTCTGAATCTGAAAATTCCAAAATGACTGTATTCATAATATATAAATGTGAAAGAATAGTTACAAATAACACTGATGTAGCAATGTTCTTTATCTTGGTAGGGGGTAGGTGTATGCATCTCTCAAAATCAGTGAACGTACACTTAGAATTTGTATGCTTCACTGGATATAAACTTTACAGTAAAATGAACTGTAAACAAACTAGTTAATGATATGCCTACCAGAGTATACAGGGGTAAATGTACTAATATCTGCAATTTAAATGGACAGATATGTGATAAAACAAGTTATATTAAAATGTTAATGTATTATCCGAGTGTTTCTTGTGAAATTCTTCAGACTTTGCTGTATATTTTAAGTTTTTCATAATGAAACACCAGGAAAAATGACATTAATGACACACTGTATTTATTAATTGTAAGCACCGATAACACACTATACTTCATAAAGCTGTAAGCAGTTAAGCTTAGTGGAATGGCTGCATCAGGCATTTGCTCCTTGATGCTTTCTCCATGCCACATTACACATACCTTTTATAGCCTTTCGTGGTGTTGTGTACTATCTGTTTGCATGGTTTTCTCTCCCACCGCACTAAAAGTGGTGAATACGTATCCAGTTTAATTTGTATTTATATTCCTATTGCTCTGCATCTATGTGGACAGTAATATGTGTTCAACAACGGTGGAATATTGAATAAAAGTGGAATTGCTAAGGACCAAGGTATTATACTTCTTGCAGATTCACTTTATTCATTTGTCATATATTCTAAAAGTTAATATGTTCAATTTTCAAAAGAAACGTGTTCTTTACTTTTCCGCGAGCACACACACTTTCTAAAAATAAACTCATCTGTATTCACAAGATTCTGTATTCTATTATATAAGGCCTGAAGGCCTCCGAACATTCAATAACTTTTAAGATTTTTTTTTCTAAAAGAGTGAAGTCTGAGAATTCCAATGAAATCTGGAATTTGTTTTATTCAAATCTTAGATAAGCGGTCAGAACTAAGAGATCCTTGAATTAGTCAAAGGCAGAAAACTGAGATCTGGGAAAAAGATAAAAACAAATACCACATAAAAAAGTCATGAGGCTCATTAATCAAGCACTTTACCAGGAAACGGAGGGAAAGTCTTAACAGAGGATACGCAGAACATCTCAAACTCCCCCCAGACTGGCAACTCTCCTCCTCTCTCCAATTACAGCCAGTTAGAGATCAGGCCGCCCGGCCACTCCCAACATGCCACGCGACTGGAGCTGATGCCTCTGAATACGCTTCTTTTCAAGTCAACCTCCCAGAATCAAGGTGCTTCCGTGGCGTGAGCACCAGATTCTGAGCTGGAGGATCTGAGTCTAAGTCCCACCTCCGCCCCGCCGTCCGACTTGCGAGTCTTGTGCCCTTGTTAGGCCTATTTCCTCATCTGTGAAATGGTAATGACTCTCCTAACCTGGGCCGGCGCACAGGGTGGCTACATGCGACGGTAAAGGACGTAAAGGCGCTTTAAAGAAGATGCAAGCGACTCTGTTAGGAAGCTGAAGCACGCGGTGCTCACAACCTGCCCCAGTACAATCTCTCAAAGTCATCGCCGCCCCTCAGTCCCTTCCCGCCCGGCGCCTGTGCTGAGGCCGCTCCCTCCAGTCGGCCCCCACGCGGAAGCCGCGCAGCGCCGCCCGCCGTACCTGCAGCTACTTGGTCAGCGGGACCCTCCTGCTGACCCATGACGAAGTCGTGCACGAGGCCCCACAGAGCGCCGGTGGGCGCCACCGCTTCCAGAGCGGCGGCGGAGGCCATGACGCGAACTAGAGACCGTGGGAGGGGAAGTGGGCGGTAGCACGGACTGGCCTCTCGGCGCACGCGCCTCCTGAGCCAATCGCCTGGAGAAGGCTGAGCGGACTGGGCGCTCCTAGGATCACGTGCCTGCCGGCTCCAGGCCAGGCAGTTCCAGGGAGGATCCGGGATGGTCCCTCCCCGAGGGGCGGGGACTGGAGTTGGGGCGGCCGCGCGCGGTGGGGAGGTGGCTGCTGGGCACACAGCCGGGGGCCATTGAGGACGAATAATTCAAGGCCTTGCTACCCGGGAGACGGGAGGCAGGGCGGGCACCTGGCTGGGTGGGGCCGAGGGGCGGTACGCGCTCTGGGGGAAGCCAATGAGAAAATCAGACCCGGCTCGAGGGGGCGGTGCCGTCGGTCACATGCGCACCTGGGGCTGGCGGCCGCGGCGGCGCTGGCACCGGGAGCCAGCGGCAGGGAGCGGGGCCGGGCTGGGGCGGGGCTGGGCAGGTGAGTGACAGGCTCCAGGGGGCCGGCCCCAGCTGAGAGCCCGGAGCGAGTCGGGTGTAGCTGCGGCGGTTCCCGCCCCCTCTCTCCGCCCCTCCAGCGGAGCTTGTCTCCGGCCGGGCACCGTCGCGGGCCCCCCTGGCCCGGCCACCTGGGACTGTGCTGGGGAGTCGGTCACCTCCCTCTCTCCCTCGCCCGCAAAGTTTGTGGCGAAGCCGACGCTGGGGCACAGCGCGCCCCCAGGGGGAGATCCGGGAGCGTCCGATGCCCGGCGGCAGTAGCCGTTGACCAGGGACGCCGCCGTCCGGGGCAGGAGCGAGGAGCAGCGGACTAGCCCACCGCCTCTGGTGCATGGGGCCCGGCTGAGGAGCCAGCATGGGCAACTGCGTGGGGAGACAGCGCCGGGAGAGGCCGGCCGCCCCGGGACACCCCCGCAAGCGAGCAGGTAACGACTGTGAAGGGAGCAGGGCCACGGACGCCCCGCCAATTGTCCCCCTCCTTGCCTGAGCCCTGGGCTTCCCGAGCGACCTTCCATGGCTCCTGGCTCCTGGTTTACTCCGATGGCTGCTTCCGAGCCGGACAGTGGCCTCCTCCCCAGCCCTGGTGGCGGGGGAAGCCGAGTTGGGGCAACTGCGAGCGCTGACCCGGCTTCGAGCCCAACTCGCTCCAACTGGGAAGCTCCGGGTAGGGGTGGGGGCGGGGGCAGGAAATGTTTGTAGACCGCAGCGGGGCCAGCGGAGGGTAGGAGGGCCCGGGGTAGGGGCGCCGCTGGCCTGGCAGCGGGGCTGGGGTCGGACACCCGCCCGTCGGGGCACGGCGCGGGCGGCCAGGCGTCCCCAGAACTCGGAGCGAGCGAGGCGAGAACAGTCGCTCCTTCCAAAGACTGTGTCATTATCGGGCTGCTGATCGTGTCTGCCGGAATCCGACTTGCAAAAGCACCGCAGGACTCTGGGAAAGAAATCTTTATTTTTCCCGCAGGGCTTTTTAGAGCCTCCCAGCCATCTGAGAGCCTAGGAATGGTGGGGTGCGGGGTGGGAATCTCTCTCGGGTTTGTTGGGATTGTTCCCAGCCATGGGAATGGGATCTGCTCTCTGGTGATCCGCGAGGCCCGAGAAGCGCCTTCTCACTTTCTTAGTACACTCCTATTCTGGCTCTTCGCCCCGGGAAGAGGTCTGACGGTCGTTTCCCCAGGTCTTGTAACTCACTTCCTTCTCTGAGCATGTTGCAAGGACCTTCTGAGAATGATAAAATCGAGGACTTTAAAGCTGAAAGGCACCTTCGAAACTTGTCTAGAATCCAAAAAGATCTACCTTCTCCTACCTATGAAAAAGCCCAAATCAGAGAGGTTGAGCAACTTGCCCAAACCCACACAGCTAGTTAGTAGTACAACTGGAGCTAGAACACAGTCTCCTCTTCCACCCAATTGCCACATATATTTTTTATGTAAGAGGAGCCACAGGCAGAGTTGTTAATGAAGTGGAAACTCTAGTTGGAGCTTCCTGTCTCTTTTGACACCAAAGGTGTGTTGGTTGAGTTGTGGAAACTGGGAAGGAGGATGAGGGGAAGCAGGGAAGGATGTCTGTGTGGTGGACAGGATGACTTGTGGAAGAAGAAATGTGTTTTTGTAGGGGAAGAGTAAAATTTAACGTTGAAATCCTCTTAAGCAGCCCTGGCCATTCTGACTGAGGAAAGTCGATTCTCCAACCCAAGGGCTTTCTTCCTTTCCAATCCATTCATTTATTCAACAAATATTTATTATGTATGTGCTCAGTTAACATAATTGATTTGGTCACATTTTTCACTGTTGACAACCCTTTCCTACTTGAAACTCTCCCCTCTTCCCTTCTCGACAGTAGATTATCTTGGCTTTTCTCTCAGATCACTCCTGCCTGCCATCACCTCCTAGGTGTGGGCACACTCATGGTTCAGTTCGACATTCCAATTTTTCTCTCATTACACTCCCTCTCAGAGAAGTCTTATTTAGTCCCACAACTCTGTCCTTTGGAAAGATCCCTACGCTTTATTCCTTCTCGAACTCCAGACTCATATCTCTAAATGCCCACTGGACTCTCTGATGCAGTTATCAGGTTCCGCACTTCTAAAACCAACCTCTGCATCTCACCCTCTCAGCCAGCTTTCCTTGCTCTTTCATTCTTGCAGCTGCTTAACTTTATACTTCGAAGATCTCTCTCTGCTGACTTTTTCTGCCTCCTGTCCTCTGCCTCCCAGCCAGCCAGTCACTGGGACCTGCTTTTTCTTCAGTAGGTCTTACAGACCTGCCCCTTCCCACTCTACTTCACGCCCTTGTCACCTCAAGTCCAACTCATCTCCCAGGCTGGAGTTAGTTCTCCACCAAAGACATTCATTTTCAGTCATTCGGTCACATGCGCACCTGCGCGTCCAGTGCCTGCACACCATGTGTCTCCCAAAAGACATTTTTAAATTAATCTGCTGCAAACCCTATTTAGTTCTATGTTCAGAAAAAATTTTGCACCTTCCCATTTCTACAAGAACTTTAACTTCCAAGGCTGTTCAAGTCTGGTCCAGTCCTTCCTTTTAAGGCTTGATTTCTTTCGCTTTCCTGACAATAAGACCACCAGTATTTGCTCATGCCATTTCTCTTCCCTTGAAGGTCCACCTCAAATCCCATATCTTTCTAGAAGCACCTTGCCTGATGGTTCCACCCCTCCCAAGTAGACCTGGTTGCTTCTTCTGAGGACTCTTGCAGACACTTTATGCCACTTACTTAACAATTATCTACTCCATATTATTAGTCATTTCTTTGATGTTTACAGTCATATCAGTAACTATATTGTAAGCCTTGAAGACCTGGGTTCTGTCTTATCCTTGTGTGTGTCTTTCTCATTCACTCATGTAACCACACACACACACACACACACACACACTCACACACTCACACACTCACACACTCACACTCAGCACTTAGCACAATGACTTGTACAGAGGAAGCACTCAATATTTGTTGATTTTAGAAAGCTGACCCAACTTTATCCTACCATCTGAATTTTTCACGTAAACATTTTACTGAAATATATAGCTGCATTTTTTTAGCTGCTAGTGTATCTTTTTTTTTTTTCAATTCTGTGCATCCCACTATGAATAGCTTTATTCATAATGTTCAAAGCCAAGGGGAACTCTGTAAGATGACAAGTTTGG